TTAACTGCTGTTACTCTCTAAATCCGGAGAATAAATAAAGCTTCATCTAATACCGAGCTTTTGAAATAGCTAGGCATCAACGAGTTGCTCCATAGATAGGTTGTTAGCTTTTTATCCAAAGATCTGAACAAACGAATTTATTTATTTTATATTAACTATGACACACTTTTCTCTGTTCTGTATGACCCGGCTTAAACAATCTACAATTAGTAGGACCTACACGATTGTCCCGGTACAGGGACATCAACAGTAACATATTATTTTTATATAGTATCGTAGTATATTTGTGTTTACGGTAACACGTTTTTCCCTACTAGTTTAGACTTGTCTTATTCAATAAAAAGATGTAAAATATTATACTAGCGAAAGATGTAAAAAATGATATTCATAATTGAATTAAAATTCAATTAAATTTAAATAACACAAAAGTTCTTTTAAACATAAAAGTCTTTTTCCATATGCTGATTTTTCTTTTTTTGATTCGCATGCGATCAACTTTTAAACTACCAACCTCGGTAAAAGGCACCAAAAAGTATGGATAGCGGACAAGACAGCATGTTTTTTCTACGAGATTGTTCAAAGAAATACATAAAAGGGATGGACAAAGACAATACAAGGTTATATTTTTCATATTCGGGATTTTTCCAGCTATTCCATTATTCTTGGCGTATTCTATCCAAGTTTTTTGTATTAAAATAAATACGTTTCAAGAAGACTTCCGTTACAGTCACTGCTTTGTTAACTATTTCTTAACGGTGGCAATAAATTCGGTTTATAGTTTGCCATTACCGGGTAGGACACTGAAAAGGATGAACCATACTCGCAAATATTATGATTTTTCTGCACCATTAATTTCTATTTCTACGGGGCACGCAGTTATTACATCACTTAATAAGATGATTAAATTTAGTGGCCCCATGCAAAATATACAATAATAAATTTAACTTAGTAAATATAATGTTCGTTAGAATGTCATAAAAAGCTATATTTGATATTATATCGTTTCCGCCTAAATACAAGAAATAATTACGTAAAATCACGAATTAACATTTTTTTATATGTGAGAAGGTGGCAAAGGTGAAGGTGGAGCTGGTTCACCTAATGTTAACTGATAACCGCCGCCCATTGACATTTGCATGACACGTAGGTTTGCAGATGCGTTGCCACCTTCTTATAAAGTAGGCCCTGGCTACCACACTCACCGGACGCAACGCAAAGGACGCAACACTTCCACTTCACGCCAATCTTCTATGAGGTTTTGGTACTTACTCGGACACACCTGCCCATTCGTGCAACAGCGACGAAGGTAGAAGCTTTACGGTGGTAGAGCCACGCAGCAGCCTCGGCTGTTGCACGAATGGGCAGGCTCGTCCGGGTAAGTACCACGACCTCACAGAAGACCGGCCTAAAGTGGAAGTATGACAAATACTTTCGCGTTTCATCTGGTGAGTGAAGTAGCCGGAGCCCAATTTCCAAAAAGGTTGGCAACATATCTGCAAACCCTCGGGTGTAGCAGATGTCCATGGGCGGCGGTATTCACTTAACATCAGGTGAACCGTTTGCTTGTTTGGCAACTTTTCACATAAAAGAAGCGAAGACTGTTGCGTGGCCCTATTATGAGTATTATGAGTATTTACACAATCACCGTCTAAGGGTACGTAGGTGCCAATCGCCAGTGATGGCACCTGATGGACTAAGCCCTAATAACCTCTGCACAGAGGATTTATTTGCCCAACAATGGGACGTATAATGTATAGACTGTCTTTACTTTTACATTTAAGTTTAATCAAGTACTCTTTTATAAAATGTGTAGATAAATTGGGGAAAATGTTTTCGGCGTTGCCAGGATTCCAACCTGCGCCTTCCGGATTATAATATTTATATTATCTACACATTTTAGGTTCCATTTTAATTGAAGAGACTAACACTAAAAATAAGAATTAAAAATTAAACTTCCAAAGTAAAAGCGACATCTCTAGTTTTCAAATTTTTCATTTGAGATTGTTTCATTAAGATATTGTCTTGCTGTAAAGGAAGCCATATTGCTAAAATATGTAATACAAACAATTTCGGTAAGGATGTCGACTACTTATGAGATTCGTGGCTAGAGCGTCTGGACACATAAACCAGGAGGCACTGGTTTGAATCCAAATAGTGTCGAAAAATTTTTCGACAATTTATCAACACATTTCAAGTTTTATGATAAGTGCAGATACTCGCGTTAAAATAAAAAGTAAAGGTAAGTACTATTCATAAAAACAATTCCATTGAAAACATGGTTTTAATTTTACTTCAAAGTAGAGAATTAATGGCTATGCCGACACTAACTGTTTTCAAATCAAAGGAATGACCCGATCGAAGTCAAAGCAAACCATTCAATTGGTAGCCGAAATCTCCCCACAAGCTTTTGATGATTATAGACATCACAAATAGCTATCTGTTTACAAAATTCACTTCCCGCAAAAGTGGTGAAAGCGTATTTCATTGATCCCATATTACCATAAAGATTTAATTTTAAAAGAGTTTTAATCTTAAAAGTATTTTTATTTACAAAACAAACTTATTTAATTAACGACCCGATCATTGAAGACCTAGTTGGCGTAGTGGGTAGTGAACCTGCCGCTTGCTCCAGAGGGTGTGGGTTCGATCTATAAATCGCTGGTTCATATCCGGCTCGAAGGACCAAAACAATGTTGTGGCTAACTCCTAACACAGGTTGTGATGATATAAATGATAATATATTTTCTTAGAGCACTTTATAACAAAATTGATATAGTTAAAATGATACTTATAATATGGATATTTATGATATGATAATTAGGTATGATATTTTGAGAACGCGTGGTTTTCTTTATAACCGAACGTGAACTGATTGTTTGTCGCGGTATATTTTAACGCTTATGACGTATCGATGCACTTTAGGTAAAAAGTGCAAACAAAGCTGTTTGGTTCAATAGTGAACCGAACAACCCACTACTGTGAAAATATTGTGTAAAAAATATAGTGTTTTTACAGTGTTTAGGTGTAGATATTTGTAAAATATATGTATTTATTACAAAGAAAAAGTATATTTATCGGTTATCTAATATCCATCGTACCAGCGTTGCTTAGTTTAGGACTAGAGAATGTTGTGAAAAATGTGTCCTTAATATTAATATTATATTACAACGATACGTTACATGACATTAATAAAAAATATGAATATTTGTAATATTTCTTGCTGGCAATTTCTGGAGAGAGCTGTCCTAAATGTTAATTAATATACTTTTGATGAATTTTCACCGTCGTAATCGCTAGAAACAAGACTTTATTGAATCAATACTGTACTTTCGTTAATACTACATATTTTTTAATCAAACGTTTACAATAAGCATTTATAATTGTTTTATATTCTTTTCTGTTTTAACAATATATGACAGAGTCCATGTGACAACGATCATACTGAATTATATTTATTACATGCTCAACTTTTTTGTTAACAAACCTTAAATTAGATAAAGAAAATATCTTCAAATATTTAAAATACAACGCACAGATAATTATAGAATTTAAACTTAAAAACATTTATATTATATTAGTCTTCTGAACACGACGAGCGCTGCTCCTTTTATAGGCCGTCGCAGTGTGCTATTACCCTCCTATCTTCTTACAATATAGTTTACTAACGCTTGGTAGTTAGCGATCAGCTTCGTCCATTGGCTTCTAAGACGGAAACCGCAGTATCGTCCGTGAAACGCAGTTTGCAACGCGGCGCCGCGGCGTGGGAATCAGTTGATATCGGCCAGTCTCATTAAAAAAATTAACTAGAAAAGGTTATATGTTATTTATAGGAAACTAGCTGCTGCCCGCGACTACGTCTGCGTAGAATAGGCTGAAGGCGCAACATTCAGACAGAAAGACTTATATACATAAAATATGTATATAAATTATAGCCCATGTCTTATTCTGACGTATAAGCTATAACATTGTAAAGTTTCATTAGAATCCATTTAGTAAGTTAGCGTGAAAGAGTAACAAACATCCATACATACATACAAACATTCGCCTTTATAATATTAGTTAGGACTAGCGGACCGGACAGACGTCGTCCTGTTCACGCGACTTAAATCCGACAACAACATATAAATAAAAAAAACAAGACAAAAAAAAGAATTGTGAATGTAAACCATTCTCGAATCGACCTTAAGACACACAAAAAATTTCATTAAAATCGGTCCAGCCACTTAGGGGAGTTCCGTGACATACACACGTACAGAAGAATTATATAAAGATATGTATGCTGATTAACAGACGGGTTTTATTGCCACACGCGACACAATTTGCAATACACAGCAAGAAAATACACATCACTGTACATGATTTATACAAACACTAGAAGTTATTGCTTTTAAATAAGGGCCACGTATTTAAGAAATGAACCTTAGAAGAATTAAACGAAACCTGCCAATAATTTTTCCGTGCATCTCGCGCAACACAATGGCACACCTCTATTATTTTAGTATAAAGATTACGTAAATCGTATAATCCGAAGAATCAGCTAGTACGCCCCGTGTCTTGGATCTCACAAACTTGAAATTTGGATACGATTTACATCCAGGATCGGAGCAACTGCTTGTAGAGCACACAAATTTCTGTCCCATGTGGCTGATACAACGGGCCACAGCCAACTGCGAATTGACAAAACAAATCGTAGCGCCATGCGTTCCGTTATAACATTCGAGGACTGAAATAAAAGACGTTTCTGTCCACTGCTGAAGTCATCTTCCCCGCAGACTACCACGAAGCAGGATCATTCATCGACTTCTCGCACATTTGCAAGGGTAGTCATTCCATTTAAGAGGGTCGTCTCACTCGAGAACCTTTCTTTCCCATAGGTTATCGGATCGGATCTACAAGCTTATATATTCTAAGGCCGGACCATCGCCACTTCAATTTACCAATATGCTGAGCTATGTTAATTACCTTTGTTATACTGCTGATGTCTTCATTGCGAACTCTTACGACATTACATGTTTGGACGTGATTCGCTGCGCTCTCTGAGGTCGGAATTCGGAAGCGCCGCGCGTGAGAACGGCCGCGCCCGGCAGCCAGCCACCGACACGCCCGATGGCCTAATCAATTCGCGACCAAATTGTCCACCGGTTAATCGACAGTCACGTGGAGGACCCGACGCGGATCTTAAGCTTAAATTTGGAAGGACATATTTAAATCCCCGAAGACATTAAAATATTGTATCAATCTGTTTGCAGTAAGTTCTCAGTGTACGTTTTAGGTAAGTAATTTTCGAAACTATGTATATCCCCTGACCCTTTTAACTGGTTTTACGGAATGTAATAGTAGTAAAAGACGACGATCTTTTGAAAGTAACAATAATTTTTGCTATTAATCATGATGAAAGTAATGTTTTTAGGGTTCCATGCCTCAAAAGGTAAAAAATGAACCCTTAGGTCTTAAAGCACAACTAATGGAAAAATTCCAAAAAGAATGTTGAAAATTAGTATAGATAATTGTACGGAACACTTCGTTGCGTGAGTCCGACTCGCATTTGGCCGGTTTTTTTGCTTAATATGCTTTTTTGCTTAATAAGTAAGTTAACTCTCCGTTGTGTGCTATACATGCATCAACTACAAGGTTGAATATTGGCAAAGCGGCAATAATTTCGTGAAACAATACGATTTAATAAGTGTGAAGATGTCAAAAAGCGTAAAATCTAGATGTTCGCTCTTGATTTTCGCTTGAAATAACAGTTGGCTAATCCATTTCATATTCTCCCATTAAAGTAGATCAATTAACCGCTTCGTGGGAATATTCAAATGAACCGCGCAATTGAGAAACAACTCCACTTAGCGCCGTTTCTCATGCTCTTAACGAATTTAACACGTGAAATGAATTACGCGAACTATGGAACGGACAAATATGGTGGACAGTGAAGAACAATTTCTGTACGATAGTTTATTGTACTAGTGACACCAAGAAGCCACGTTAACAGGTCAGTCTGTACATAAAACATTATCCAATTCCCCTGGCCACATACCTCGTGGAAATGGGAGACCCGTTTCCACGAGGTTAGCGTCTAGGCCGAAATTTGTACTTGTGGACAGGGGGAACAGTCCGGAATACGCTCAGATAAATTGATCAAATTTCGTGGTCACAACTAGCAGAACTGAAAATTTCTACTGTTTAGCCAGCAAAGACCTTAAATGAAACAAGTAAGGAATGAAAGAAAGAAAGAAAGAAATATTTATTCGGCGCATTACATTATAGGAAAAAAAGAAATAACATTAGAATTGTAAAAATGTATGCACCAAAAAGGTCTCCACTCACCAAAAGGCCGTTCAGCTCCATGCATACAAAAATAACATTGAAATAGAATACAAACAATAAAAAAGGAATATAAAAAGTTAAGTACAATAAAATCAAAAATAAAGTTTAACAAAAAAAAATTATTAACAAAAAACATATACCATACATAACATATCCTCGACACAATACGAGTATATACCTATGAGATCTGATTTGACTGAGTGCAACTTTATATATAATGCGATGAGTACTAGCGGGCTGATCAGAAACCGCCTCGAAGATGTATTGCTAACTGGTCAGAAATAGTCGCACGGCAGTTGCATTGACGTAGTAGTCCAGTAGAGTGGTTTTTCTATGTAGAAAGACGGTGTGAGTCGGTGCAGATATAAGAGGTAAACTGTGCAGAATGCAGATTTACGCCCGGTTTCTTAAACACTGGTCATCGAAGAAATTAACTAATCAGCTATCAAAAAGCTTTTCAAATGTTATTTGAGTTGCCAAAAGGATTGTTAAACTCTCTGAATTGATCAGAATGATCATTTAGATAGTAATATGTGAACTTCCTGGTAGTTAGTGATTTAATAAGAGGTAAGTGATTTAATTTACTCTTACTAAATTACTGGTGCGAGAACCAACAGCTTTCTATTGCAGACAAGAGTGAACGTACGGTCTGACTAGCTATAGTCTATACAGTAGCTTTTATAGTAGTTTGTCTCTATACAGCAGGGCTTAGATAATAACTGAGCATGTGTGAAACGGCCCTTATCGTCGGCCCGAAGTCGGTGTGGCGCCTCAGCGGGGCGGTGTCGGCCGCTCACCTGCCGCGGTAGTGCTCTTAACAGCAGTTAACCAAGGGTTAAGGTGATTAAAAGCGCCTGGGCGCGTGCCCTCGGGCGGCCGACGCCCGCGCGTATATCACATTCCAATTTAAATTAGTTTCGGGGGCCGGTTTGTGTGCCGAAATGGGGGCCGCCGCGCCGTACTTCAGCTCGGGCGCCCATTACACGAGAGCGAAACGCGCGCCCGTCATATTGGATCGCTGTTAAGAATCGTCGGTAACGCAGGTAATTGCGGGCCGACTCGTTCGGTTGAATGGAAGCTGCCTCCCATCATTTTATAGCATCGTCCTGAACTGGTCTGAAACTGTGGCATAGAACTCCTGCGAACTGCTAATGTTTTTATTTTTTTTTATGTGAGAAATTGGCAATCGAGCTTGCGGCTCACCCGATGTTAAGTGTTAACCGCCGCTCACGGACATTTGCCACACCCGTAAGGTTCGTTGCGTGGCTCCACCACTGTATGGCGTACATTATTTATAAAGATCTAATATTGACCTTATATGAATTATTCTTTTTAGCAACAGTCGAAAGACTCTTCAAGCCACTGCCTATACGATTGCTACATGTTGTTCCTGATAATTTATAACCCACCGGCCAGCGTTTGACAACTACCTCACGCGATGGTAAGTGGTGACGTTTTTGAATGCAAACCTCCAAGCCAAGTGAAATACCATTCGCCCTTTCTCGAAGACCCATGGATCGGATTTGCGCCGGCGAGTACTGAGAGACGGCTCGGTCGTTAGCAACGCCACCTGGCGCCGAGGCAGCGGAATTTACGATTGCTAATTGGCGGGCGCGTTGAGGCGACCAGCGCACCCGCCGTGCCTAAAGGATCGGCGTGTTGTCGAGACGACAATTGCCGTGTATCGCTATGGGGCCTTCTTGTGCCGCGCGTTCGCCAACCGACCCGCGTGTATGAACGAGCCCTGTCTATCGGGATTCAATCGCGGCAAATTAAAACGCGCGTCATCGCCCGCGCATTGTCCGTAAGACGCGGCGTCTCGCGACCTTCCCTGTCGCGAGTTAGTAGGAGTCCTTCGGAACATTTTCACAAGCGGACGGGGTCGGCTAATCACCGCCGAGGTTATTGATGCGACACTATAAAGGTATCGGCGCGGCGTTTCGAACGAGAGAGGGTTCGCTGCGACCAAAGCGACACCTGGGGCCGACCTCGGAGACTCAACGCGACGATATCGCCTTCCCACGACAGCGAAGGACCTCCCCGACGCGCATACATTACCGCAGCACGCATTGTCGTCGTAACCCCCCCCCCCCCCCCCCCCCCTCCCCCTGCATCCCCCACCTCCGCGCGGGGCCACACGCGTTCCCGAACGGCGCACCACAGCCAATTGGAAATGGGCTTAATTATTCCCGCTACGAAACTAACACTCGCGTTCACAATCAATTAATAATTTATGAGATTTTTACGGCCGCGCCGCGATCCTAATAAAACGGAGACGTTATCATCCAATCTGTTTGTTTTCGATCGAAGCCTTCAATTGTGGTTCACACGAGAAATAAATAGTACGTCCTTGTGGGGAGAAAACGCTTGTATAGTTGACTCGCGTTTTTTTTATGCAGGTTTGCGTGAAGCAAATGCAATGGATGGCGGTCGGATGTGTCAATAGCTGTATGAATGCCGCGATGATCTCTCGCCCGCCGGCATCCAGATTGCTCCAGAAACTGGATTAGCATATTAATGAAGAGGCGTGGTCGGCTCCGACGGGACGCACACCAGTCTCCCACGCGCCTCTCCGCACGCCGTGATATATGCTTTTAGTAATAACCAATTACATTGTCCACTTCAATCTTTTCGACCTCACCCCCATTCTTATTCATCTTTCTGATTATTAAATGATGATTCAAAATCATCTTTTTGATATGTGAATTTTGTTATAATTAAATGAACAAAAACTTCGGAGCTGTGGAGATCGAACTCACGTCGTTTCAGAACAGTCCGGCGGTTCAAAACAGTAGCAATATTTTGGCTTCAAATCTCCTCGAATCAGTTCTCTCGATCCTACCCAAAAACGTGCCTTTTTCCCTCCTCAAAAACTCTTTCTAATCATCCTGAATGATAAAGACGCTACAGTCCAAATAGCCTTAGGTAAAAAGTAGAGCCTTAATAGATTGTTGTGGTTTAGGCGTAACAAATTTTCTCCATTACCAATTACCTACAATAACAAATTATATGCTAAATGTAAATGTGATATATTCTTTAACACAATCTAATCGCCAAGAACATAATCAAAATTTAAATACTAATAAAAAGGCGTATTTTCATGTTTCAAAAACAATTCTAATCTTTTTCATTCGTTCATCGTACATCTGAGACCATAAACTTTTATATATACTTACAATACACAATATAACTATATTATCATAATAAAGTTAGGAAAAAAAATTGAATTTCATTTTTTTTTTATTGATAACACTAAAGCTCGCCCCGGTACTAAACATAAACAAATGAAAATAGAACTATTGTATCCATAACCTGTTGTATCCATAGTCTTATACCTAAGATCTCGAGATTAGATTTAATTAGTTATCGTTAATATCTCTATGTATGCAACTAAGCAAACAAATGGAGAATATGATGATGGAAAGCATTCTCTTCCAGTAGTCAACATTGGTAGTGTTAAAAGCTTGTTTTTAAAATTGCTTTTTATTGAAATTTAAGTCATTTGATTGCTCATTATTCAAAAAGATGAGAAGAAAGGATGCAATTCATATATTTTTATCACGTTTTTATATTGCATGAAAATACGCCATAAATGCTAAAAGTTTAAGTGCTTCGATTAATCGTCGTTTTTACTTAATCCTAGTCATTTATATAAAGTAACTTTAACAATTGTTTAAATTAATTTAAAAGAAACAAGTCGAGGCACTGAAGTCAATTAATCACGATTATTCGAATATTCTTAAAAAAAAGCAACCTCGTCAACAAGTGCAAAAAAAACAAACGAAGACCACATCGAATCCGTGTATTCAAAAATGCATTTCTTTAAAACTCTGCTTAGATTAAAGCAACGTTGAATTGCAAGGCAGCCGTATAGCAGTGCTCCGTGAAGACGTCACGATAGCGAGGTAGCCGGTGCCCACTGTATTTGGCTTCATTAACGTAGTACAAAAGGGGCGGGCGGCCGGTAACTCACGCCCGCACAAAATAAATAATTTGACCATCCGTGGAATGTATGCGGGTATAAGAAAACGAATGCCGTTGGACGAAAATGACAGAAACTCGAAATGTACTCTATGAACAAACAATGAAACGGTTAAGAAATATTTCTTTGGTGAAATTTTTTATAAAGAAAACACGTATTATAAACGGACCACAAAGTCTGAACTAAGAAATTGTGAACCATACAAGCCGGAAGTAAAAATAAAACCCTATTCATACACTCATACATGTCATCTATACGTACAGCCTCTATCATCGTCATTCTCCTGTTTTAAGGTATGTCTTAACGTCCAATCGGCTGCCTGACGTCAACCCACCTTGTGAGCAAGTCTGAGCATTTGTGGCAAATAGTCATTTACATAAAATCATAAAAAGATTAAAAACGTACAAAAGATAGTAATAATATACTATTGTGTGAGCTAAAATCTCAAATTTTCATTTTAATTCTGATTAAAAGCCTAATGTCTAATTAAAAGCAAGATATAATACTTTTGCTAAATTTTGTGTTCTCTATTAAAATATTATGTATTCAACCGATGATGTTCAATAATATAGATGACGCATGTCCGTACTGCGCGACGTTTAAAAGTTATTCCGCTTTACATTATATGACATATAAGTGAATGAGACAAATAATATAGAACGTATGATACGGAAAGCGACTATAGAATTTTATTATTTATACGATATTAATAGTAAAACCTTATCTTTAACTTGTTTGTTTCACAAGAATTATAATTTTATAAGAATTTATATTATTTCATACGAATTTATAAAATCAAATGTAAATAGAATGTTTCATAAATAAAAGTATCCTACGAACATTCATCGCGTTTATATTTTGTTTGTCCCTTTGTTTGTCCATAAACGCTATGAAGAGTTCGAAACGTAGGGATTTTAAAAACAGAATGCAACCTGATAAAATCCTTAAAATAGTTTTATTTAACCGTAAGGAGTATTCGAAAATGTTTATTATTTTTAAGACAAAAGGTTCGTCTCCGTATGACTCCTATGACTTTGGAACGTCTAAGAATTTTAATTGGGAGTGGTGTTATATCGGCGGAGCTTTAGAAAAATGCCGTTAAGGGTTCCATCCAATAGAGTGTAGCGAAATTGGGCAACCGCCGTCCCGAGACAGTCACGTCGCGTACTCAATTAAATGAAGAAAACATGTGCACATGAAATGAGTATTTGTTGAGTCGTCGTGCGTGCGGTGGGTGGCATCTACATTTGTCACCGCGACTCAGGAGCCATGCCAACTCGAGCTCAATCGAGACCCCAGAGTCTTCCAACGAACGAAACTTATTAATCTCTGAAATCGATCCAAATTCCAACGACAAACAAAAAGTAAATTGAACGCTTCAACTCTCGACTCCTTACATAACTATTGCATAAAATTTCTGGAATTTTGATTGGTATTTAACACTTAAACTACACCAATTTAACAGCGAGCCATGAAATTGTATGAAAAATTGACAATTTAAATTAGGAAACGCCTATCATTCCATCCGTTCGTCACCTCTTACTTTAAAATGCAGTTAAATAAGTTACATTTAAAACTTTGATAAGGATTTTAAAAATTTTAATATCGGGTTGTTACTAGGTTAATAAATAAAAATCCATACCATTCGTTATACCAGACTCTTGTATTTACATTTCAAATTTTGATATGTAAAACCAAAAAACCCTAAAATATTTAACATTACGAAGAGAATAACATTTTTTTCCTTGCGTAAAACACTTACCTTTGCATGATATATTTTATCTTCTTTAATAAAAACTTTGTAACATATACATGAATTGAACGCATTTTGACATACAGATAAGAAATAATCGAAGTAGTCAAAGTTACCACACAGATAAACAAAATAATCGAAGCGTAATGTCGCATCCATTCGGCCGTATTTTAGATTCTACGTGAGGCGTAGAGCTCCGGTGGCCGCTATCATTCTGAGGATCTCGCTCTATGCAAATGTAGTTTTTGCCAGCCACCAATTGAGCAGAACCGAAGGCGGTGACAGTGGGTGGCCGAACTTACGGCTGTGCACCCGCGCTCAGGAGACCGAGGAATAGGAACTACTGTTTATTGGGTTAACAGTAACTTAAAATATAAAAGCAAGAATGAATTGGTCGGCCGTGGCTTTAAAAAGGGTGGGGGAAATTATGTTATATGGGACTGTTACATATGTATTGCTCAGATCGGTAGAATTCAATATTGTTTTCGGCTCGTTTATGGGGCAGTCAATAAATGGTGGTTGTAATGTTCAACACGTCTTAATAACTGTTCCCGAGTACCTCAAATAGTGAAGGATATTATAGGTACTAAAATATTTTTAATATAAATCTATATTTTTAGTATCTTTAAGCGATATTACTTTCTAACCTTTTTACGTTTCTATTTTTTTATAAAATACGCGACGTTGAATCTTGAGGAAAGTTTAATCTCTGATCCCAGCTAAACTTAATCTCTTGACCCGCTCATAGAGACATTAACCTGGACTAATAGGTTTACCACCTACGACTGCGTCGCGACTCACAGCAGCCAAGAAACCAGGTCGTGATAAAAAAATGTGCCATCGACAGAACCAGTTATTTGTGTATAAAAAGTTAAAACACTTGACAGACAATCACAACGCAGGAGAAAAAAATACCTAAGTCAACGAAAATATCCAAAATAGATTAGATAAAATGTTTGCACTCTCGGAGGATTTGCTTTAGTACTCAGCTGGCATTTTTAGTACAGAGTAAAGATAATTGCTATGGATCTGCTGGACTGATACCAAATGATATTTGTGTACGTAAAACTTACTCCACATGATTATATAATACTGCAGTATAGATATGTACAATATATAGGTGATATATCCTACAGTATAGGTGTGTACAATATACATAATTTTTATTAAAATAAGTAAGTAGGATATAATTAATAAATACTGAGCTAAAGATTAACACAAATTAATGTAATAGCTTACAAATTAATGTACGTTCAGTATTTATTTCAAAGCGACTATATTCACACCGCGAAATTATTATGAAATATTTATCTATGTAACCTGGTGACTTTACTACAGAATCCACGTCGTAAATAGCAGATTTGGTCTTCTGCCCACGCGTTTTACTGCAGTACAGTAGTACAGTAATTTCTAAATTTATTTGTTAAAAAATTCGGAAATTGTCTGTTTTATGGAAGCCGCACTTAAATATTTTTTATTATTGTTTTTTAGTATTTTTTGTTATAGAGGCAACAGAAATACATCAGC